AGAAGGAAGCAACGTTAAGTTCTTAATAACATACTTCGTAAGATTTGTAATTAAGTGTTTACCTAGCCCAAGTAGTTTAAATTAGCTCATTAGCTTGTTTTAGGAGGTGGCGCGTATTGGTTGTTGATAGAGTATAAAACATAATCATGCGTCTTAACCATAGGTTTAATCTTTTGGTTAAGTTGGTCCCTAAACATGGTATTAGAGCTCGCATGATACAAAGGTCACGGGTCTAAATCTCATCCACCCCCACTTTTAAGTGAAATATTTTGTGTTGGGTATAAGGAGGGCATATGCTGCATCCGCATCCACACTTCATACAAGCCCAACCACTACTAGAAAACTGCTAATCAACGACGGAAATAATCCCTCAGAATACCCTGAAATTCCATCGAAAATGACGGTTTCCGACGGAATTCCGTCGGCAGGCACCGTCGCATTACATTTTGTAGGAATTTGGCTATATTCCGAGGGAATTTCCGTCGGAAAGGTCCATTCCGACGGATTTATTTCTGTCGGCGCTTTTTTTTAACTTTTATTGAAATTCCGTCGGAAAAGTCAATAAAAAAAACAGCCCCACCCAAACCCACCCCCGCCACCAGCCCACACCACCAACCCGGACCACCACCCACCCACCCACCCCCCCCCCCCCACAGACCCCCCACACACCCAAACCTCCACCCACACAGACCCCCCCAGCAGCCCCCCTACCACCTTAACCCGCCTCTCCACCTCCCCAACTTAACCCACCTCACCATACCCACCTCCCCGAAACCACCACCTCAAAACCCACCTCCCCGAATCCTGCCCGAAACCCAGAAACTACCTTCCCGAAACCCAGAAACTACCTCCCCGAAACCCAGAAACCACCTCCTCGAAACCCAGAAGCCACCACCTCAAAACCCACCTCCCCGAAACCCACCGAAACCACCTCCCCGAAACCCACCGAAACCTCCCCGAAACCCACCTCCCCAAACCCACCACCCAAAACAACCACCGAAACCACCCAAAAAAACATAAAAAAATAAATCCATAATTCAACAACACCATATATTTTCAAAAAAATCAGAAAAATAAACAAGTTAATTAAGAAGAAAAAAAAGACACATACCTTAATTTTGACCCAAAAAAACCGTCGAAATTGGGTTTTCAAGGTCAAATCTGACCATGAAAACTCTAGATCTAGAGTTTTCATGGTCGAATTTGACATGAAAACCTTGATTTTCATTGAAAATCTTGAATTTACTTTGAATTGAAACCCAAATAAAACAAACCGAAAATGAAAAGAAAGAGGGGAAGAGGAAAGAGAAAGAGGAGAAGAGGAAAGGAAGGAGAGGAAGGAGAGGGAGAGGAAAGAGGAGTAGGGGCGCCGAGCCGCCATGGAAGGAGAAGGAAGGTGAAGGAAGGAGAAGGAAAGGAAGGAGAAAGAGGGGAAGTGGAAAGAAGAGAGGAGAGAGAAAGAGAAAAGAGGCGTGGAGAGGAGAAAGAGTAGGGTTTCGTGTTTTTAAACCCCTTTTTTGTTTTTTACCAAATCCGTCGGAAATTTTCCGTTGGAAGCTAAGTGTTTTCCGATGGATTTTAATTCCGTCGGAAATTTTCGACGGATAATCTAAATTCGTCGGAAAGTTCCGACGGAACTTAAATCCCTCGGAATCACGTTTTTCCGAATTTTCGTGTCCGTCGGAACACGTCCGTCATAAATTGTTCTATTTCTAGTAGTGAACGAGCTTTCATATAAGGGGGTCGGACGTGATAGATTATAAAACATATTCCTGGACCTCAACCTATTTGATAAACTTTTTGTTTAATTAATGCAAATTGAACTTAGGTAAATAACATTTTTTTTAAAATAAAAAATACAAGTAAAACAACCAAGATTTTTACGGAGTAAAAAACTACAAGAGGGTACATCCCTTACTTAACACAACTTTTATTTAATGGCTTCGCAAATACTTAGCCAGTAACATATTAGGAGTCCTATTAAGCACACACAAATTATAATATAACAACAACAACAATCATGATAAAAATAATTACAGACAACCGTAATTCATTCTGAGTACAAATTATAATCCATCCATCATGCATTCCAATCCCATCATCCACATCCATCCATTACATGCTTCACCCATCATCTGTATCCGTCCATCCATCATCCACGAATGAAACGGGTGGATCGGGTGACTAATGGATGAACATTTTATGAAAAAAAAAATTCGCATAAAATTTTAATTTATGGTTATTTACCGTAAGTTATTATTATTTTTAAATAAAAAGGAAGCACTAACTACATATTCTTTGAAAAAATTAATTTGCAACAAATAAAGTATTTTGATTGTATATTTTAATTTTTTTAAATTAAAATTCTTAGATTAAAAATCTTTATATATGTTAGACGGGTGGATGGATGGTTAGCCAGTGAAAAAAATCATCATCCATATCCGATCCGATCCATCATCCACTTCATCCGTCACCCGCTTTTCATCCATTTATTTCGGATTTTCGTCCATTTATTTTAAGCGAGTAGATCGGGTTAGCCGATATCCATCTAATAATGTCATCCCTATTCAAGCATTAAATCCTAGAAAAAACATTATTTTTATCTCTTATTTTAGGGGTGCCAGCATTAAAATCAAAAGGGATGACTGGTTGGGCCACGGGGGTCGGGCCTCTACCAGCCCCTCTTTGGCTCCGCCCTTGTCCTTAGTTTCACCTTTCATTTCTAGGGTTTTCGTTTTTTCAGATGTAGGTGGAGGTCGTAGGAGGTGGGTGGAGATCGGAGAAGGTGGAGATCGGGAAGCTTGAGTGGGTGGAGATCGAGGAGGTGGAGACGGGGAAAGAAGAACGGATGTGGGTGTAGATCGGGGATAGATGGCTGGATGTGGATGGAGACGGGGTAAAGAAGATCGGATGTGGCTGTGATGATGGTAGTGGCGGTGGTGGCTATGGTAGCTGTAATGATGGGAAAGGAAGAAGGATGAAGTAGCAATTATTTACAATTGTGTCATTTGAGTAATAAATGTTGTTACTCAAAATGAGTAACTAGGGCTAGCTCATAAGAAAATATAAATAAATGGATGTTTGAATTCAAAATTCACCAATCTCAACTTGAAGTATTTCAAATGATGACCCGTGAGTCCGTGATTAGCAGGTTGATTGGATCGAGTTGAGATTGGAGAATTTTAAGTTCGAACAATTTCTAGTTGAGAAGGACGACAATTGTTCATGATGAATTGATGACTAGTATTCTTCAGGCTTTACCAATTGGAGTTGATCGATTTCAGAATTCCACTATTATCGTATTATGAAAGGGTGTACAAAACGTCGTTTGCATGGAAAACATGGTCCATTTTAAGCTAAAATACAGGCGACGTTTAGCTATTCATTCATATTTAAATAAAATATATAAATTAATTTGTATTTGTACGTAGCATCTAAAATTTTTGTTTTCAGCATCTAAAATTATACTTATTAAAAAAAAATAAAAAAAAATAAAGGATAACTACCATATGATTTTCAATCTAAATCATCCTTAAATGAGATTTTTTTTTTTTCCCCAACTACTTGTATGATATACTCTCTTCGTTATTGAATATATCAAGTTCATAGAACTTTTACTCACATAACTAAATATATTGGTAGTCAAAAGCGTATAAGAATTCTAAGAATTAAAAAAGTACCGTGTAGGGTACAAGAATTCCGTAAACCAAATACCGCCTGCATTATTAATCGAGCAAAGATTGGTGGAGAACTCACCTTGTGACTTTTAGGTTACGAATTTGAGCCCCACTAACTACAAAGTGCTTGGGAGTAGGGGGGTTCCCTTACCTCCCCCTCTACTCTCAAGCGATGACCTGCGAAACTAAGCTAACTAAATCTGTGAGAGGTGTCGGTTCAGTAGATTCCTTCATCTGACCTTATAAAAAAATAAAATAAAATATTGCCTACGTTAATACTTGTATTTTAAAAAGTTTTATGTCTTGCACTTTAAAAAATCCGGAGGAATATATGAGAAATTAAGAACTCGTACCACCAGATTGGCCCGTGTTAAACTGTTAACCACGAGGAACAAGCACATAAATATTTACACAGTAAGGCACTAATTTACATCAAGTTTTTTGTAATTGTTAGCGCTATCAAGTAGGCCGCATCGTATCATTCGTGTCAAGTACGTTCAATCGATATGTATCATGCCTATTATATTGGCTAGCAACCACACGTATTAATCTGGTCCATTGTCCAATGGAGTTATTTTGATAAATGTATTTTTGTATACATTATCCGTTTTCTTTTACTTGCAATATAGGTTAAAGGCTTGCACTTTGAAAAGAGGATTATTAATTAAAGAAAGTAAGGGTTAAAACGACTATGACGGAATCTCGCTATCTTAAGGTTGTTTGCAGGTAAACTACTCTGTATGATTTTCTATTTTGGGCCTATTTTCAGCCTATTCCATTTTAGGTTTAGTAAATCTTACTCTATGAATTATTTACTTTTTTTATTTTGAAACCTCAAGGTATGGTATGAGCAAAACCCACCCTTGGGGCCAGACCCTTTGAATTTTTATGCCCCGTATTTCACGAGAATTTGAAGAATGGTTACACATTTACAAATTTCACAAACAAATACGTTGTATGGATTTTAGCCCTTCTAAACTCATACAAGTACCTTCTTAAATCAGAATTCAGTGAACAAACCCAACACCTCATAAATAAGCAGTGCATAAGGATAAAATGTTACACTTTAAAACAAATGGAGGGTTTGGAAAATAATAATAATAATAATAATAATAATAATAATAATAATAATAATAATAATAATAATAATAATTATTATTATTGGATCAATCACCTTGTATTTTTTCATAATTTTAAGTAATTAAATTAAAGATATTATAATTCAATGTTGCGTACGTATGAGTCAAAGTGATGCACCATTATGAAACAGAGAGTATGTAGCTAATAAACTTCTAATCGCCGAATAAAGAAGAAAAACCGAAGTTGGTCTTAGATGTAATGGGATGCCTTCATTTCATCACCGTATACACACCATAAAAAAAACTCATCAAACAAAGAAAGCTTAGGCCTCTAAATTTACAACGTCCCTCCTCAAAATGCATAAATTAATTCTAGCTTAGAGAAGGGTGGCAAATGTTTGTCCAACAATCAACATTAGCCTCATTTTTGCAAAATATTCACTCTTAAGAGTTAATGATAAAATGTACACCGGACTACAAGAAATATATAAAAGGTAAAAATTGTCGTCAATTTAGAGTTGATCAAGTATGGTCCGACCCAACTCCGAGTTGGTTAGGGCAGCCAATTGTCGGCTAGCCTGAACCGTGGCACGAATTTTTGGTCCATTAGTGAAAGCTGTGAACCGAGACTTTAGCTTGAGGACCGCCTTGTATGTAAACAAACACCATCTCACCACCGGCTAACAACACTTTGAGATAAGGTGGTACTTGGTAGATGTTCTTTTCACTAGTAGGCATTAGACCGTATATTGGTCCCGAGAGGTTTTCAATCTTTAATTTGAGATCTCTAACCGTTTTCATGGACATGTTCTTGATTAGTACCGTGTGATGGTACACGGTTTTATCCTTGTCTTGCCATGTGCCCGTTATGGAGTGTTTAAATCTAAATGGCACATCTGCGGAAAAAAGTAAAACAATGTTATCATTAAGTAAAAATCAGGTGAACAGAACATGGTCTGACATAGTTAGCTAGAAGTGTAAGAGGGTACAATAAATTAAGTGTAACACGAATACTCACTTGAAGTGGCGTAGGGAGTTTTAGGTGCATTTAGAGGCTTCTTAGCATAAGAAGCTTTTGGTGAGTTTCGAGCATAAGGACTTGAGCGTGTGTTTGTGCTCCTCAACTTTGAGAAGAGGCCTATAAGGGGAGCGGTACCAGAGATTGTAGGCTCAGTTTGCTCGTAGTTAGATCGATCATCATCGAATTCATCGTCTTTATCCGGACCTCCTACAAGGCCTCCATGTATGACATTTGGGTTCGCAGTTGTACGATGATACCATTCTTCAAACCCTTGGACACACCCGACCGGAGAGTTGTGTACAGAGATTGAGGCAATGGATGCTCCTCTGTGGTGCACTTGTTTCGGGTAGTTGTTTCCAAAACCAACCAAGTAACTCATGGAGTTAGGATTTTGTCCTAGGATGTAATCTGCCTGTAAAAATGATCATTCAATAGCAAAGTTTAAATTAGATATACTCCAAAATTTAGTCATATTACTTGACAAAAGAATAGCTTATAAAATAAATTGTACATGAAAGTAAAAGGCAATTAGGCAAAGAAGATGAGATAAGAACCTGAGACTTGGCAAAGTTGAAGAGGTCTTGTGGTTTCGAGGCTCCTTCAGGGCAGTTTACAACAGCCTTTGCTTGGGATAGGTAGTCAGAGTACACGGCGAGGAGGAATGCAGCAGAGGCTGCGTATTGCATATTGTTCCACTGGCGCACATACACTAAGCCACCTAGTTGATTGATAAGAAAATATACACAAGAAAGTATTAAACACTGCATAAATAGGTCAATTTTTTTTATTAGAAAAGTGATTTATGCAAGTTTCAGTACCAGGAGTAAGCTGAACATCATAGCCATTATTCTTTTGTAGGCAAGAGCAAGCAAAGTAATCTGCCTTGGCTTGATACTGATTCAATGTCGATGTATATGATCCGCCGTTACCTTCCAACAATATCTGAAATTAACCCCATACATATTCCGATTACTTTACAATTCGCGCTAATTACATATAGGACAGTCAAATATAAAAGTTACAGCAATAGGTGAATACATATGTATGAATGTATGATCATGATCAATATACTCTGCCTATTATCAATTGGTTTTAGAATGAAACCTCAACTACGTTTATGTATATCAGGTCATTTAGTCGGGACTAAGTGATATTACCTTAGAAAGGAGGACTTGAACTCCGGCGTACTTGTTATCCCAAGAGAATTCCTTAACGGCCCAACCAGTACCGCCCATGGAAGCAGCATTTTGCACCACATACTGCAAGTAGTGCTCTTTGTTAGTTGCTCTATACAACCACGCCGCAGCCCATAACAGTTCATCCTGATTCCACAAAAAAGCATATCATTAGTCACAATGATCAAGGTAACATTGTCAAATAATGGGCTAAAGCAGAGTAATTTTCGGAATGGAAATTATTTTTTAAGCCAATTACTCCGTACTTGATAGCCAGAGGATGTGTAGTAATCTGCAGCATTTGTGATTGAATCATCATATAAGCCTCTAAATGTATCCGCGAAGTAGAAAAGCTGCACAAACATTAGAGTAATGTATCTCATTAGTTAGCATAAGTATGTAGCAGTGTCATAAAACACATAATTTGGTTGTTAGTACCAACATTATTAACATACTTTTTCTTCATTTCAATAAAGTATAATTAGCAATAAGACAGTGCACTTGTTAATCACCTGCTCAGCATGATACACAAGAACATGAGCATAAGAAGAGTTGTAAGGCCGGAAAGCCAACGAGGCGGCAGCTAAGGCGGCTGCAGTTTCTCCGGCTAAATCAGAGCCAGGGTTAGACGAATCTAGCTTGTAAGCCGTCCTTGATGTTGTCATGTCCTCCGGTCTCATCCAACAAAGATGGTCAGATGCTCCATCTCCCACCTTCACATTATATAAAATTACTTTAGTGAGTTTAAAAATTAAGATGTTACAATTCTTTGATGATATCTTATTTTACTTGTAATACAAATTTAATTGTTACGTTACAAGTTTAATATTTACAACACGATGTACCTGTCCCCAAAGAACATTAGGGTGAGTATGGGCCTTGATGAAATAATCAGTTCCCCATCGAATAGCTTGTAATGTTTGATCCAATTGATTCGCGGCTAATAAGTCCTTGTTGAAATCAATTGCAGCCCATGCCATCATCGTGACCGAAAAGGCCATTGGAAGCCCAAACTTCACATGATCTCCTGCATCAAAATATCCTCCTACCAAGTCCACCTACATAAATAAAAGTATGTACCTCACATTAGTTTTTTCAATACATTACATGTTACTTACCCTCTAAAAATTGTTTTACAACATATTTACAATTTGGAGGCCCCGTGCTAAATACAAAATTAGGCTGCTATAAAACTTTAAATATGTTTAAAACATTACTATTACATTAAGATTGTTTTGTACTAGTGCAAGTATATAGCCAAAACATTAATTCTTGAAAGATTGAAGTAAGATTTTCCAGCAAATTTATTTTGAGCCCTCATATTTAAAGTATGTAATAGACAATATTGTCCTTCAAAAACATGTAACAAGGAAGAAGAAAAAGAAAAGGCTAGGTTAGTATACTTACTCCTTGGGCATATCCATCGCGCATGGCGGAATCCTTGCGCCACTTAACTCTGTTGTTGTATGGTAGCTTTCCAGACCTTTGAGCCTCAAAAAACAACAAGGTCTTGTCTAGGGCATCCCCATAGTCGAATCCCGAGACCATGGTTATAGCTTCCAACGCTAGGAGGCCGACGAACACCACAAGGAGAAAATGTGGACGTGAACATAACCTAAACTCCATCTCGATCTTCCTCTATACGTACCTAGCTAGGAACTAATGATCGATATTTATATAAATGGATACGAAACAATAAATCGAGAGAATAATAATCACTTAAACTTTTCCAAATGATAAGAAGTTGTTTTGATATGTATGTCGCATCAACTTGGTTTATATATGGAAGAACAATTCTAAAGGAAGAAATAAGTTATACATAAATTAACAATTAATGTCCAACCATTAGGAAACCTAAATAAAGGTTTAGTAGCCTTCACGTTGTATAAGAAGAAAAGCTTAGAAGAGAGCAATGAGAGTTTGCTTCCCACGTTGTTTGGTTATGATTGTTATACATTGTACATACAAATATAAACGAAAGTCAATTACATGTAACGTGGACTTTTTTATGTTATTTTATTTTTTTGGCTAAGTTATGGTCCTCAACTATGTATTAATTATTTTATATTTTACCAAGCAAGAATATATAATATAGGATAAGAATAAGATTTAGTGGTTGGTTGAATTATGAATATCAAGCTTTATTTTTATAATATGATTAGTATATATACCGATTGTTCGTGTTAATTGTACGTGTACATATATTGCATTCTTTGCATGGCTACAGTACATTTAATATGTAAATCAGGTTGGTAGAAGAGGTTCATGATCATTTCTTTTATTTTTAATTTTTGAGGGGATGATTGTAGTTGTACTAATTACACTCGATCAAGTTAAGCTTATTACATTAGAGTTTATTAAGGCCTTAATTTTAAAGTTTACTGACTCATTGAAAACTACTCCCTTTATCTCAAAATATTTTACTGTATTTTGATTTTGCTTTAGTTTGACATGTTATACAATTTAGGTTGGTTTGACAAAATGCTGAATCCAATTTATACAATTTGATTTGAGGTATGCATGCACTAATGCACCAAATCGCACCAAACTAAAGCGTGACAACCCCAATTTTAGGTGGCACGACAGCGGCTGTGGTGGTGGTGGAGGAAGTGGCAAGGGGTGGGTGGTGGTTGGGAAAAAAGAGGGAGGTAGTGGTAATTTTAGTAGAAAAGGAGTTTAATTTGGTGAAAGAGGCGGGCTAAGGGCAATTAGGACAATTCCATCATTAATGTGGGAGTTACAAGTAACACGCATATTAAAGAGTTCATTTTAATGGTCGTAGTTGACCTAAAGTTTATGTCAATAGTATAATTTTGCCTAAAAATAATCCTTGTAGTTATAAACAGAGAAACACTCATTCACTATCTTTATGCATGGACAAATTTGGTATATTCCTTTTGCACTTAAAAATTTTGTGACCTTAAATCATTATATTGTACATATGTTTGAATAAGATCAGAGAATTTGCATCAAAATCTCACTATTAATTTATGGTCATCACATAAAAGGGCAAACCACAAATTTTTGGCTGCCACTTTGAATTTCAGATTTCATCAATCAAGTACAATAAGGATTGATGTCTCTGACAATAATTAATTAACTCACAATTATAAAGATAAAAAATTTAATAAAAAAAAAATGCTAGCAATCAAGGCTAGGGGTAAAAATTACAAGAATAAAATTAGAATTAGCTTCATATACTAAGCTAATCTAATTAGCTCAAGCTCATATAAAATTACAGGGCTGCAAGAAGGGGAACTAAGAAGGGTAGCATTGCTTTCAGTACTAAGTACTTAACCCGGCCTGAATGCGCTGATGGTGCCGAGTTTATTTGTTGATTAACCATGACATAATCTTCTGCAAGATGTTCAGTTAGATCCATATATATATCAGTTTAAAGTATATTGATCATCTTTAAGTTTTTGACATTATAAGGTTAAAACAAGATTACTCACCTATTACTGGACTGGGAGCAGGTGAATTCAGAATGTAGTCAGAGTCTGTAAACATGAACAGGTTTTGATGAGGCTTCATTGATTTTCTTTTTTTTTTTTTTTTTTTTTCCTAACATCATGATTTTGAAACAATGATGAAGAAATAAATTTGATAAAAAAAGAGAGGAATAAACACAGAGTAATAGGGGAAAGAAGGAAGAAAAAGATCTACAGCTGCGAGTTACTCGGTAAACATACTTGGAGCAGGTTCTGGTGCTGAAGGATTTTGCACTGATGTACTCTGGAGTGGAGTTTCAGCTTGTTGGTCTGGAGGAGATAGAGAAAAATACATCAAAATGAGACAAAGATTTCTGATGAGTCTTTATGTTATGAACTAATGGAACTAGGTAAATTATAGTACAAATAAACTAAAGTTTAGTCATTATTATAGCAAAAATCTCAGAAAATTTCGTAGCACAAATGAAGAAGAAATCGAAAATCAAAAGATATTTTCATGTATAAGTGAAGTGAGAGCCCTGAAAGTTAAGATAGCAGACAGCAGATTTAAAAATAGAGTTTTTGGCACAAAGGAAAAAAAAAAAAAAAAAAAAAAAACCTCGGCCTAGCAAAATTTACCTGGTGACGCGTTTGAAGTTGATGGATTCTGATATTGATCATAACCTAAATTTACATGTTGAATACACTGTCAGTCTTATGAAATGCAGGCTTGCCAGAAAGGTCAATTAAATCCAATAAATTTAGCTAGGAAGTGTAGTAAAAACTTAGCAACAAGATTACTTAATTACCTGAAGGCGTGCTTGGTTCCGATGTTTTATCTGAATAAGAACCTAAATCAACAACATCTAACAAGTAAGTTCATGTTCTCTTAACCTTTTCGCTAAATAAAACACTTTTACTAATGAAAATTGCTACTGGTTTTCACTAGCCAAAATTTGATTTTTGCTCATTTACTGGTGGTTTTATCCTATGCAATTACTTATTGAAACTGGTTTTTACTAATCAAAGCTGAATTTTGCTGGTTAAAGCCTATAGGACCTAAACTATAACTAACAGCAAAGAAGGTTCAATTGTGATCGATTACTTACTTTGTGGAGGTGTTTTAGGGGACTCATGATAACCTGCAGAAGGATGAAAGATAGGTAAATCCGCAAATGTAACTTTTTACCTGGAAAATATAGAAAAGTACAGAATTAAAGAATTGTTATGGTAATGACCTGAAGGTGGACTTGAGGAAAATGCACTGTGCAGCTTGGAGAAAAGGCCTATTAGAGGTGCTCCTGCAGTAAGTGTAGGTTCACTTTGATCGTAGTTGTCTCGGTCATCAGTAAAGCAGTCACTGCTATCAGGACCTCCAATTAGACCTCCATACAGAACGTTTGGATTTGGGTTCCAATTCCTATACCATTTGTCGAACCCTTGTGAACAATCCAACCTGGTACTAAGTTCATGTATAGAAGGGATAGAAGAACCTCTATGGTGAGGCTTTTGAGGATAATGGGTTCCGTAGCCTATTAAGTAGCTCATTGATTGAGGATTGTTACCGAGTATATAATCAGCCTGCACCATACCATATCAAATTCCATAAGAATTATTAGTAGTAGGTGTCAAAGGAAAATTACAAAAACTTGTGAATATAATTAGTGTATAAGTGCTGAAAAACAAACTAATGTATGAAGCACTTCGTATTACTTTATTATGTGCTTAGAATTTCAAGAAAAAAGAATCTTGATACTTGTAGTAAAATACTCTAGGCCAAAAAAGTTGAAGGGCTGAAGAAGTTGCACATATTTACCTGTGACTTAGCAAAGTTCAGAAGATCTTGAGACTGTACTGTACCGTCTGGACATTCGATCACAGAGCTTGAACTAGCTAGATATTCAGAATAGATGGCTAAAAGGAAAGAGGCTGATGCAGCATACTGCAAATTGTTTGACGCGAGAAGGAATGCCAACCCTCCTGATCATACAAGCAGGAAAAGAAATACTCGGCTAAGGGATCTTCTTCGGTCTCACGACAGGGCATATGCTTAAAACCTTATTATACCTTGCAAAGGACTAGAGCAGAAGACTGACCTGGTGTCATGGGCACATTGTCCCCGCTGTTTTTCTGCAAATAAGCGCAAACAAAGAAATCTGCTCTGGCTTTGTATTGCTTCAAAGTGTCAGTGTATGCTTGACCTTCTCCATCTAACAATACCTGTAAAACACACGTGTGTGCTGCATTATATTGCGCTGCATTATTTTTCTCTTCGAATATGTAATGAGGAAATGAACTACCTGACAGGTTGATGATCACATGAAATTTTATATGCAAAACTCCCAAGAATAATTATGCTATAATTAAGTTTTTTATCAAACATCAAATTTGTAAATGAAATTACCTTTGTTAGAAGGATTTGTACACCAGCATACTTGTTATCCCAAGAGAACATTTTGACTGAATTACCAGTTCCACCTAAAGAAGCTCCATTGTAAGATGCGTACTGCAAGTAGTAGTCGTTATTCGTGGCTCGGTACAACCAGGCAGCTGCCCACAGGAGCTCGTCCTTCAAATCATTACCAGCATTTCAGCGTTATAAAATTGATGTAACACCAATACTTGTATATAATTCAAATAAAGGTTTGACTCTAATACATATTATTACATAAGATGATGACTAATCACATGGTTTCGTATTAGGAGCTATGAGATCAATAGATCATACACAATCAACATACTTGTATTTAATTTTTCTTCCCATAAATAAGGAAAATAATCATGTACTAACCGTGTATCCGGATGAAGGATAGAAAGATTCGGCTTCTGGGTAGGAATCATCATACAGGCCTCTGAACGTATCAGCAAACGAAAAAATCTGCAAAAGAAGGATAGTCTCTTTTGCTTAAAATTCTGTACATTATAACCTGTTCACCAAAATGCAAACTTGTACTAGAAGAAGAATACTTCAATGCACATATATATACACATAAATAAGAGACTACATACCTCTTTAGCATGACGCAAGAGAAGACCTGAGTAGGAAGAATTGTAAGGCTTAAAGGCTAAGGAAGCAGCAGCCAAAGCCGCGGCAGTTTCACCAGCAACATCAGAACCAGGATGGCTGGAATCAAGCATATAAGCTATTCTTGACGTAGTCATTTCTTCAGCACGCTGCCAGCAACTATGATCCTCTTCTCCTTCACCTACCTGAACATGCTTGCAAATCAGCACAATAGTAATGCACATATGCGCGATTTTTTAATTAAAACACACAAATATTTAAACTCACCTGAGCCCAAAGAACATTGTTGTCACAATGTGCCTTGAGAAAGTAATCAGTCCCCCATCGAATTGCTTCGAGGGTATGATCCATTTGGTTAGCAGCTACTATTTCTTTCTTCAAATCAATAGCTGCCCACGACATTAGTGTCACACTATACGCCATTGGAAGGCCGAACTTCACATGATCCCCTGCATCATAGTATCCTCCTACTAAGTCTGCCTGCATACATTGAACATTTGTCAATTTTCATATCATTCTAATACAAAGTGTATATGGAGAAGTTTTACAGGATTCTCTCTAGTAACTAGACTATAGGGAATCCGGTCTTTTTAATTATTATGTGTACATACTTGTTGTGAAAAACCATCTTCTAGGCCAGAATCTCCACGCCACTGAACTCGTTGATTCCCGGGGAGTCTACCAGATCGTTGTGCCTCAAAAAACAACAAACTCTTATCAAGTGCATCATTATAATCAAAGGATGCCGTAGCTACAACATTGGTAGTTGTCGATGTTAACACGTAAAAGAGTTGTAAGGCGACCAAGAGGACACCACACAAGCCAAGTCTTCCCATACAAATGATATAGATAGAACTTCCTATAGTCTTTAACAATTCTATGAAATTTAATTTTTGCCTAAAATTAAGTGTAGTTTTGTTTGCCAAGGATGCACGTATTATCGCAATGTTATGTTCATAGCATTATAATAAAGGAGAACCAAAGACATGATTACATGAAGAAAGAGTCTAGAAAATGACACACTAAATAAGTTTGATTTTTTACATCAAGTTGGTTGCCTCCACGTTCTAGTGAATTAAGCTTAAAGGTGCTCACGTTTTTGGTCAAATGACAAAATGTAAATTGGAAAATATGAGTCAAATGCTTTTTAACCCCCCCCCCCCCCAAAAAAAAAAAAAAAAAAAAAAAAAAAGGATTGCTAGGCAAATATACATAAGAAGAATTATGCAATATTTTTTGGATTTGTTTATCTATGTTGTCATTATAACTAGCTTGGTTGACTAGTTTTAAGTAGCAGGCACAATTGATATTAACCCAAGATATATAATATGGTGTACGTGGCAGTAGAGGGTGAGATAAAAATAATGTTGTTCGCGATACCCTTGTTGATATTTGTTTTTGGTCTGGGATTTCAGCAAGAAAGGAGGTTAATGTTGGGTTGACTGGAGGGAACGATGGGGCTCTTCGACCTGCAGATGTGTTACTTTATTCTTGGGACAGAGGCCTTGATGTGTGTGTTGACTTGACGAGATCTTTTCCTTTAGCACAATCTGGGTTATCAAACTTCGTTCCTAGTCATGTTGTGTCGATTGCTGCTCAGCGGAAATGGGACAAGTATGGGGCATAGTGCAGGGAAATTGGCTATGGTTTTCTTCCTTTCTCCTTTTCTTCATTGGGGGAATTAGAGAAGGATGTTGTTGCGTTGCTGAAGCGGGTTCAGGCGTTCGCTAGGACTCAAGATATTGGTGCTCGTGCAACTACTCACATCTTCAGCAGGATCGGATTCGCTATAGCTAGAGGGGTGGGGGCCCACATTGTATCTCGGCTCCCAACTAATTTTTTGTAATTTGTTTGACTTTGTAGGTGTTTGAAATTATTTTATAATAATAATATTAATGATAATAATAGTAATAATAATAGTAATAATGATAATAGTAATAATGATAGTAATAATTATTGTTTGTTCATGTGTTACACCAAAATTTAGAAGTTTGACTTTTATTGACTCAATTTAGACCTTAATGGTCTAGCAAAGCTTCAGATTGGGCTAAAGTCTATGTAATATACAGTCAAAGCCCAATAAAGTTTTTTTGAAAGGAAAGCCCAACAAAGTTAATAACAAAGTCTTAACAAATCAAATGAACATGAAAAAAATAATTACAAACACACATGCCAAGTTAAAAGAACGAAATATGAGTGTTGTATCCATCCGTCTCATAAGAATCATACTATAAATGTATAATTCATGTATTTCTTTTTAATTGAGTCTGAATTGTTGGGCTTATTATTAATCTATGAATTCAGCTTCAAGAACTGAATTCAATGAACTCAATTAAATCTGAGTTCCAAATGAAGAACAATAAAAAATAAAAATAAAAATAGAGAGAGAATTTGGAAGAAATTAGAGAAATCTTTATTTTTTTATTATGATCAGAAGTTAGTTTCTAATACAGCTTGTAAGAGTATATACATACACATTTATAGGGAAGGAAACTGGCAATAACCCGAAAAATATGATTATAGATGCAGGATTAAGTGGTCTAATAATAATACTTCCTTTGTTTTTTTAAGTTGCATCACTTTTCTAAACTGAAGTTTCAAATTAGTTGCATTATTAACGTTTTTAATTAATAAACTCTATTTGCTTCTCTCCTATCACATGGGTCAATTTTCTTTATTCTCTCTATCTCTCTTTTATCCAAAATTTATGTAGGAGCCTCAACTTACAAAGTAATGCAACTAAAAAAAAAACGGAGAGTGTATAAAATAATGAACTTAATAGTGTTACAAATGTGCTAGACCCATAACATTTACTACCATGTATGATGTATATATAACCCGAAATATCCTTGTTGACTATTTATTGATGCCTCTTAGTTTAGTTGTCATTTATAAATTAACTTTTTATTTTTTTTGGGAAATTATCTTTGGTAAACTTGAACTTTTTACTTTTCTCAGTGGTAAACGTTAAAAAAACTTATTATCAATGGTAAATGCTAATTATCTTTACTAATTCATTGGTAACATTAATGATCATTTTTTATTAAACTCTTTAACTATAGTTAGAGTTTTTTTGATTAAAAAAGTTATTTTAGAAATCATTATTTTTTTTTTAAAAAAAAAAACAAACAAACAAACCCCTTCCCCCACCCACCCGGCCACTCAGCCACCTGACCCCCTCCCTCCCGGCCAGCGGCGCCTGTCGGCGATCCCCACGCTTGCCGGCGACCTTCTACCCATTCCCGCGACACCCCCACCCCCTCCATTCCCCAACCCTGATTCACATCCCTCCTCTAATTTCAGACGCCCTATTCCAGTCTTCTAAACGTATGCACCTTCGCCAATTTCTCTGGAAAATTATCACCATTAACACGAATTTCTACATTTTGAAGTGTCGGAATATCGTCGATTGAAGCTTTAGGCCACAATAAGGTTATGTCGACCTCGAATTTTTTGTAACAATGGCGGACGACTAATCTAGAAACTTCGAGAATTTACAGGTTTTCGACTAAAGAATTTCCAGAGACCAGTGGAGGGGATAGGGAAATTGATATCGAATCGAATACTTCTAGTGTCTCTAAGAACCCAAAAATTTCTACTGACCTCAGATTTGTGTTGGATGGTAGCTCAAATGGGGACAATGTTGAGCGAGTCTTCTGAGTTTTTATAATGGTGAAAACATGGTGAACAAAACTCAAGTTATAAGTAATCAGAATGAAATTGTTGAAACAGGTCAATCTCAAGAAAGAGGCAGGGTCGGCCGACGGGGAAGGGTTAAAGCGCTGGCAGGGAAGGGTGGGCCATCGCCAGAAGTGGAGGGGAGGGGGAGATGGTGGTTGGGCCTGTAGGAGAGGGTGGTTATTTTTAAAAAAAAAAATTATTTAATTATTATAAAACTAACCGTGGCTAAGCTATTTTTATTACCCCCTCCGCCCGGAGTTATCTGCACTAAAGAACGTAATTGCGGACTCCTAGGCAAAACTTGTTAAACAAGATTATTGAAAAGTAAGAGGAGAGAGAATGGATAATTAAACTAAACTAAAATAAAACACACAATTAAATATTGGAGAACAACCACCCCATGAACCACCGCACCACCCCACGAACCATCGAAACCACCACCAAAACTCACCACCTCACAAACCAAACCACCGAAACCGCCACCCCACGAACCACCAACACCCAACCCCACTTACGCAACCCTCACGAAACCACCACCGAAACCCACCACCCCACAAACCAAACCACTAAAACCGCCACCCCACAAACCACCAACACCCAACCCCACTTACGCAAACCCCCGAAACCACCACCAAAACCCACGAAACCCATCACCAAACCCACGAAACCCACCTTTAAACCCACGAAACCCAGATCTGGAGAATTGCGCGACGACGAATTGTGGTGGTGCTGGGGTAAGGTGGTGGAGAATTGCGCGACGAATTGCGGTGGTGCTGGTGCTCTGGGCTCGTCTAGGCTGGTGGTAGGGGCGGCGAAGGTGGCTGGGGTAGGTGCACCGATTAGTTGGTAAGTCAATGTAATTAACAAATTGTAAACAAAGTTAAAAATTTTAAATAAGGGTAAAGTTGACATTTTACTACTAAAAATTTACCAAAAGAGGAAATAAAAAAATTGTTGCAGATAATAGAGAGCACCTATTTTTAGTAAATGTTGCAGATAATAGCGGGCGGGGGGAGTATAATAGTTATTCTCTTTGGTAATAAAAAATTCAAGATTACCAAAGATAATAACTTTTTTCTCAATTTACCATAGAGAAAAATAAGAAGTTGAGTGTTAACAAATAGAATTTCCCTTTTTTTTGTGAAGAATTATCATAATTAACTAAAATCCTTAAATTACAAAAATTCTAAAGAAAGCATGAAAGACTGAAAGCTTCACAACAAATTTATACATCGCAAACGTGGCACACCAACATGTCACTTCATCCTCAGCTAAGCTCGGTCTCGGCTCGACTCATTAACAACCCTATTTGGAACTTACAAGTGGGTAGATATTTGATTGGATGAAATTACAAGTTAAAGAAGTAATAAAGATGATTTAAGATTTTTTATTCAAATTCAAGGTATGATAGTAAATATTTGTTGGGGTTTACATGATTAAAATAGAAAATAGTAATTACAAGTAATTTAGAACATCCATTTAAGATAATTTGTGTAAATAATCTGAGACGGAGGGAGTATAACATTATATGAAAAGGCCCCTATTTAATCCACCTAAATTTGTATATATACTTGCGGAAATGAGAGTTCAACCACAACTTAAGGTCTTTTCTTTTCAATGAGTGTTATACTATTTTAATAACTAGCATTTTTTGCATGCTATGCGTGCATGTTATACTAATATTTTTTTTTACCACAATTGCTTATTCATTAGCATTAGAGAAGTTCGAACAAATATTAATACTCCTTATTCTTGAAATATATCCTTATTCAAATATATTATTGAGATGGGAAGGAAATATAAAACAGAAGAAAATATGAGCTCAAATAAAGTAGAAAAAAACCTGTATGTCTCGAAAGTAGAAGAGTTTGATTAATATAAATTAAATGATGATCAATATTTAGCTAAGTTTTAAAATATTAATTATTAGTAAAATTATTAATATAAAATTCAAGTTAATTTTTTTTTAGTTGTATGTGTTAATTAAGTTTGTCCGTTTAGTATTTTTACTAGATTTTTAAATTTAATAAGTACATATTTCATTTTTAACATGTTTATTAGTATGATAAGCAATGGGAGGAAATAATTCACCTCCCTTGAATACTGAATTGAAATTTCAAATTTTATAATTTAATAAACATCTACAAAAATAGATTTTCCACAACAATATATTTTTTATGATGAATATTTTTATTTTTATAAATAAATTAAAATATTTAACAAATAATATCTTTGTTTTTCTCACAATTTATTTGTTAAAGATTTTTGTTTATTGTATCTTCAATAAGTAATTACAAAAATAGTTTTTCCATAACTATACATTATTAATCTACTAATACCAATTTAGTTGATTTTATTAAATTACATTAGTTTTATTGTTATAAAATATTTTATTGAACTTACTTAATATAATACGGGCATTATTTGACATAACACGGGCATAACATCTAATAATTAACCATTTTTTTA